ACATACTGTCACGGTTCGCACCGTGACAGATCTAGAGGTTATTCTTAAACCTCTACACTAAAGAGATCTTAAAGCTAAAAGGTCCCCCCTTAGGATTCTTACGCTATCCCCCCCCCTAATTTTATAAGCTTAGCCACTAATTCACTACTAGATATAATTAAGCGGGTTAAAAAGCTTAATACAAAGCTTCTTAATTATCTAAAGAAGATTAAGTATCTATCTCAAAGCGTTTAGAGGTATATCTGACGGAGTATAGATATAAATACGCTTTTATCCTAAGAGGTTAAATTATTAAAGGCCTCTTTAAAGAAGGCTTAGTTCTAGAAATTAACTATAATACACCAAAAAATAGGAAATCGCTTCTTAGGACTAAAGGCAGTGTCCTATTACCTATATATATAAATAGGATAATGGTAAAAAGATAGGATGCCGATGCTAAGAAGCTAAAGCGGCTATAGGCAAAATAGGCCAAAGAATCAGATGCCTAACAACGGGCCCAGGAAGCAAGGGATTTATTAGAAGCTAAGCATAAAGCTTCAATAGCGGCAAGAGATAGTCACAGTGGAAATTGGTATATAGATTCATGGTGGTTACATATAAATAGTATTTTTATTGAATGAGAGATTGAAAATTTTGCGTTTGGTGGGGCGCACCAACTACCCAGGATGGGTGGTTGGGCGCTTGGCACGGTTACAGGGTCTTACTATTATATGAGTTGATGAATTGGTCGAAGTAGACTGATTGATGTTGGGTACATATTTTCCGTTTCTCAATTTTTACATATGCAAGGCTTTTTTTTATGTGAAGCTGCTTTGATTTTTGTTGCGAGTTTTTCATCTGCACGAGGAGAGCAAAAGGTTGGATGTGTTGAACGAAATACAGCGTACTTTTCCACTAGACCATAACAAAAACCAAGGTTCCTATTTATGGCCTAGGGAGGCCGTATTTGAGGTTTGACAGGATGTCTTATTTTCAACACCAACACCTCACAAATCCAAAGGCCTGGAGCGACTTAAAACTCCATGTATTTGGATGTTAGGTGGAGGTGAAATCTTAAATGTCACAAGGACGCCCTTGTGATCGGTGGGCCACTCGTTATCGGAGTGGTTCGGCTCGGGCTTAGGGTTGCCCACCATGTAGGTTTCAGACTTTTCGGGAGTCAAATTTCCCTTATAGTAGATAAAGTCGATGCGATCCATGGGCTCCCTGCGGCCATTGTAATCATCATTTTTTAGGTAGATGGGAGACCAAGTGGTAGCCGGGTCCGCGGCAGGATCTGGATGGAGCTTGCGGTAGGCGTCGATTAAGCCAGCGTCAATAGGCACCTTAGAGGTGGGCCAGTCGAACTGCCCAATTCCACAGTGAGAGGAGTTTGTCGCATCGGTCCAGTCGAGATGAGAGGGCGCGTTGAAGTCGCCGGTAAGAAGCACAGGGACTTTGTCGGCGTTGTCGAGGGCGCCTGCCATAGCGCCAACAATATTTTGAATCTGGCGGGCACGGCTGGCTCTTTTCTCAGTGTTCATTATGGCGTCGGCATCTTTTTCGTTGAAGCAAGGATCATAAGGGCCATAGGGGTAGGCGTAAGGGTGGCAGTTGTGGAGGATGACCTGATTGTTGTCACCGTCGAGAGCGACTCGCACGGCAACACTGGTTTCGGTAACTGCGCCATACCTTTCCGATATGGGATAACGGCTGATGATGCTGGAGTCCACACCCTGCCATGATTGCCAACCAAGCGCGTCTGCAATCTGAGTTGCGTGGCCGTGGGTGCTTTCTTGGAGACCGACAATGTCGGCACCAGAGTTGGCAATGGCAAAAATCTGCTTGCGGTTGTAATCTTTGACCTTAGTGCCTCCGTACCAAAGATTCAGGGACAGAACTTTGAGCTCAGTGACAAGGGGTTTGCCAGAGGCAACTACTGGAACAGTGACGTCGATGGTAGCAGTAGATCTGTCGGAAGCAGTAGCTCGAATGGTGACTGTAGAGCTACCACTACCACTGGGGATTCCAGAAATGATACCATCCTCGGATACGCTGACCCAGTCGGCGTCAGAGCTTTCCTTGCTATACTTGGTGTTGGGGTCCGGGGCGTGGTGTAAAAGGCCGCTCACCCGAGTTTCGAACTTTTCTCCTTCACGGGCATTCTTAGTCGTGAATTTTTCAATATTAAACGAGACAGGTCCGTCACCGGAAAGGAAAATGTCAATGGGACCAGCAAGCACCGTGTACCCACTCTCAGCCAGGAGGTAGGCTTTATAGGCGCCCCAGTTGAAATGGGTGTCATCAATTCGCTTGGTCTCTTCCGATTCACGCATCCAGTCCCAATATATAGAGTGCTCTTTGCCAGGACCCTCGCCATAAATACTGTAGATACCAATCCAATTCTTCTCCGAGGGTCGATCGGTTTTATAGTGAAAGGTGAAGAAGGGACCGTTGACAAGTTCTAAGGAGCTGCCGCGCTTTGGGAGGGCAGCCGAGGCAACGAGGGGAACCCCAGATAGAGCTGCAAAGAAGATGGATTGAAAAAGCATGGCCTTCATCTGTCTGTGCGTGAAAGAAGGACAAAGATGACGAAACAAGCCGTCAAGAAAAACAAGTTAATCGCTTGATGTACCTTGTGTGTAAGCGGCTATATTTCTGACGATATTCCAGATCTTGTTTGCCACAGCAAAGATGACCAGTTTGACAGCGATGAGATCAGCGCCTGATGCAGCGTTTCAGGAATCAAGAACAATGCACTCTGATGTTGTCGCTTTACAACCTATGGGTGTGGTAGGTAAAATTTTGCGGCTGCTAGCGAAAATTGGTTGAGGAGCAAGCAGAAACGTTGAAATATATAAGGACCTTGAGATAATAGTTGTGCATATGTTGTGGGATTTTAACCTGTCTCTACCAAGTCAGACATCATCGGAGACACGATCGCCTGGGCAACGGGCAGCGATCATGCGCTAGATTGGCCCTAAGACCTAGCACTTGGCACTCATTGGGGGAGCTCTCAAATGGCCCACTTACTTCTTTTCCAAACTGAACAAAAGGTAGCTTCAAGAATAAATGGGCGCAGAGCTCTCTGCCATCATAATTCTGTACTTGTGTACGAGGGAACAGGGCATGGATTCACTTGGGAAGCAGGGGGAAACTAGTGACAAGTTTATACACCTACATGGATTCAAAGCGCCCACATAGCAGGGCTATGTGCATATTTCCGCCAAATATAAAACAAGTCGTCTTGAACAGCTTGAACCACGACCAGTAGAAATGGGTAGCCATTTGGATGCAGGCGCCGCCATCAGCCGACCATGACGAGCTAAGGACAGGAGTAAATCCAGCGATAAAAAAAAACAGCTGGTGATGTGAAGGTTTTCATCTGCTAGTGCATTGTTCTTTTTGTTCGTTGTTGAGGACGCTGACATGTAGGAAATCCAGGCTCGTCCTTGAAATCGGGTGTCGAGCAGGCCAGTCACTGGTCACTTGTCCGGGACCAACCCCCCTTCACGGCTTTTTTTAAAAAAACATTAAAAGATGTCTCTGCCGAGGGTCGCGAGGATCGGAGTTTCCACGGCAAGCAAATGACCTATGCTAAAATTGTTCCCGTACAGCTTTCCAAGGACATACTCCGTGCTCGGCTGCTCCGGCTCCTCCACGGCCAGGACTCGGCAGCGGGTTTAATGATGGCCTGGCTTTCCTGCCGTACTCCAAGCAAGTCTGGATGGCAGTGAGTCTTTGGCATAGTGGCAAGGAGTAGGAAATTCTTGGAATCTTAGTGGCTTGGTCTGCCGTAGTCTTGTGTGCTGCACGCTCGCGTGCGTTGCCCAATAGCTTGATGGTAGGCGTGTAGGAGAATATTCCTTTGTCCAAGCAGCTCTGGCAAAGCACAAGAACTTCATCTACATACTCACTGGTGGCATGGAATGGAAGCAAGCTAGGTGAGCCTGTACCGACCCACCAAATCCGACTTAGTTCACCTACGGTTGATATAGTGCCCTCAGAAACCGGAGCTTGCAGGATCGGCTTAACGCAAGTAAGCCAGAGCCAGGGCAAGAGCTGTGCACTTTGGTTGATATATTAGTTCTCACATTCAAGGTCCCTGGCATCTCGGAAGTGGAGTAGTTGTGAGGTTGTCAGGTTGCCACGTGAGATTTTACAAGTGGTTTTTAGCATGTGTCTAGTTGCTTTCAGTAATAGATGACAACCTAGAACAAAGATTTTGAATGCTCATAAATATCATATATACTACTCTATGATATCCGGTTATCGGACGATTTTCTACTCGTCAAAAGGACATAAGAGTTGATCCAAATTTCTACCTATAACATGATCTAATCAGGGAATTCTATGCTGGGCACCCTGAGTCGCCCATACCACAATTAGCTCCGCTTAGTTACATATGGGATAAACCCTGGAAGTCCACAGGCCGGGGGTAAAGTAATCGTATTAGTTACAGCGTGGGTTTAAAGAGCTATGTATTGCATAAGGCTAAAACAAGTATGTCGGTATCGGATCATGAGGTGGATAACAATCGATTAAACCAAGGAGCACAGGGAATGGTATAGAATATAGCAGAACTAGACTAGCACAAGGTAAATCATGAAGTCTGTTCCCCGGTATTCAATTTCCATTTTAAGAGGGTTGGATGTGCCATTCTCGGGATAAGAACCCGAGGGCTCCGTGGGATATCTGCACAACCTTTCACTCCATTAAACTGAGGGAATCTAGCCCTCTAGATCAAAAAATGCATGCACAATTCTTTTGCAATTATCAATAAAAAAATCCAAAGACATCAAGCTATGTGCTTCGTTCTTGGGCTCATCCCGTGGGGAAATGAGCTATGAAGTTGAAGGTGCAATGCTATCATTTTAAAGAAAAGCAAAGAGATTCCAGAGGTAATAAACAGCGGTATAAGGCAAGAAATTGCCTGGTATGATAGAAGGTAGTTGTGACTATGTATCCTCTTCGTTTCCACCCTCTGTAGAGCCTCTGTGCACACTGTTTAATTCTCCCTCTCTTCATTTCTACTGGGCAATCTATGTGGAAAATCATGAAGAGCTGTAGCAATGGTAATCTAAGTTCACTTCGGAGTAATCGATATAGGAGATAGAACACGAAACTTCCGAAGATCGCATCCTACATCCGAGAAGCCGAATATTCCGATGAGTTTGTCTAGATAGGCTCATCAACCCGAGACAAGATCACTAGAGCTTTGAGCGACAGTGTAAGTCATTAAGGAAATGTCTGATATGGTCTTTCTAGGTCAGTCGGAGCCTCCATCCGAGTTTGAAGTGCAAGGAGTGAAGTTGTATTCGGCACCGGGCTGTCTATATAATCTTCAACAAACCTATCTGTTCACTGGCGTTGACACCGACGGTTTTTAATTATCCAGCAAATCAAACTCATTGTTCTCTTGTCTCGCCAGTGCATCGCCACAAACGGTTCTGTCCAATCAGTGATACTTTCAAAACCATGTCCCTCTCAGCAGTGATGACTGTTTCGGGACCACCTCTTGTAGTTGGCCCTACGTCCAAAAGAGCAACCCGGCCAACCAACAGGCTCCCACAATATTTGATCGACGCAGCTAAAGTCGACGAGAAAGAACAATTTGATCCGAAGAGACATATGAGCTACGAGATACCTAGCAAGGTCTACACTATGGAAGAAATTGGCCTGGCCGGCCAGGGGATATCTCCAATTGCAGTCACGGCACCTTTCCAGCTCTTCACTAAAGAGGCTATCATGCAGATGAGAGCTGAAATCTTCAGCGATCCGGTCCTGAGGGACTGTCAGTACATGTCTGACTTTGTGAAAAACACCATCCGAGGGATGGGCCCTGCGTGAGTGGAATCGAGTTCTGAGCCCAATCTGTATATACTGTGAATCTCATCGGCATGTTAGACGAGCTCCGTTTACCTGTGACGCATGGCGCTCCCCCGAAGTTCTTTCCGCAATTTCGGAAGTGGCTGGGATCGATCTAATTCCTGCCATGGACTGTGAGATTGCAGCGATTAATATTTCAATCAACGATCAGGCGGTGGGTATTGTAAAAAGTGATGACAGTTTGCCTGCATTTGCATGGCATCGTGATAGTTACCCATTTGTCTGCGTGACAATACTCTCCGATTGCACCGGTATGACTGGTGGAGAGACTGCGCTGAAGACTGCATCTGGGGACATCATGAAAGTGAGGGGACCTGCCATGGTAAGTTCCTCCCCAAAAGATATGTTTCTACCGCTAACGTGCATTCAGGGCACTGCTGTGGTTATGCAAGGCAGATACATCGAGCATCAAGCACTGAAGGCGTTCGGGGGCCGCGAACGTATTAGCATGGTCACCTCGTTTCGAGCCAAGTCACCGCATATCAGAGACGAGACCGTTCTCACTGGCGTCCGGCCTATCTGCAACTTATCCGAGCTTTATACCCAGTACACTGAGTACAGACTTGAAATCCTGGAGGAGAGAATCCGGATCAAGCTGCAACAGGAACGGCAACGGGAAAAGGCAAATCGAACCTTCGAAATTGTGGAAATGCGGAACTTTTTGACTGAGCAAGTTCAATTTTTGGAGGCGATGACCAAAGAGTTAATTGAATAGTTCTCATGTGAACCTATGAGCAGTTTGTATTTATTTCGGAATGAAAGTTGATGGAAGTTTGGCGCGTGTGAAAGATGTTAGGAATTTGGTCCAGGACTACGAGTTCCTCATAGTGAAATAGAGGACTCCAGAATCTACTTGAAGAAATTTCATCCTTCATCGGCTCTGGGTCCGTAATCCACCGCGCTATACGAAATATCGGGATTGCCAATTTGATCCACGATAGACAAAAAGTCAGCCGAGGAGATACCAATGTAAGAGAGCAACTCAACGCTCGGCACCCCCATGTCAGTCGGATACGGTGCATGGGGTCCAGGGATAGAATAGCCCATCCACAAAGGATCATGATCATCCAGAGATATCGGATCATCCTTTCCATCCGGCACTGTTCCATTCCGATCATCCATGCGGATCTCCGTCGTAGCCTCAGCACCATCCGGGATGTCCAAAGTAAAAGGTTTCAGACCTTGTGACACCGCACGAGAAGAGAGTTCCTGAAATAGATTTTCCAGATACAGCAGCTCATCCCTCCGTGCCTGGGCTATTCGGTTACCATTGGTAATCATTCTGTCTAGAATCGAGTATGATTGCTGGATGCAGCATTGACCAGTTTCCACCTCTGGAAAAAGCGCAGTTGCCATAACTAGATGGATCGCTGCGGCATATGCAAATTCCAAGTTATAGGGAAGAAAAACCTCTAAGATTTGATCAATCATATGTCGCAGGTTGCTCAAAAGGCGGCTTGGAAGCTTACCGACATGACCGTCGTCCCCTGAAAGAATTTGTAGTGTCTTGGCAGCCGATTTTATTCCAGTAGAGATCAAGGTCTTTGTAAGCACCAAAAAGCCCCGCCAGTCTTCTCCCTCACTGTCAAGCTTTTCTAGACGCTCCATCAGAGCGGAAAGAAGTAACGGGCGGGTGGCGACAATCACACACTATGGGAGAGGGGTTAGAGGATCACCGTATGAGCCAGCTAGTGTAACAAGAAGCATTTTCAACGGACCTGATGATATAGTAAGGTAATGTGCTGTGTGCTATTAGGCATGGTGTCCATGGAATTGCGAAACTGAAGGTGGATAAGGCGTTCGACTTCTTGGGCACATCCTGCCAGTGTCTCCAATATTGATCTTGTTGTGTCCAGAAACACACCGAGTGTCGTTCGTTCAGATTTGTATACAGCTGTGCAATAAACCTATTAGAACAACCTGGTTACTGCGAAAAAAAATTGGTGGGAACGTACAGGTCAGAATGAAAGACATCAAGCGCGAAAGTTTTGCTTGGAGCGTAAAAGCAACATCCTCAGTCAAGCATGTATCTGGCGGGTTGATTGAAGCACTGATATCACTGTCAGTAGTAGTCATTGGCAAACCGACGGAGTACGAAAAGTGTCGGTCCATGATGTAGAGTGTCCACCAAAGATTTCGGCAGCGAGTCACCACTTCTAGCCCTAGCTGTTCTTCCGGTAGTTGGGTATGCAAACCCTCAAATTGGGCGATTCGAATCGCTTGTCCGAGCTGGTAGAGAGTAAGAATTAGTTTAGCGACCTGAACCCCTTCGCGCCTAACATACGTAGATGTAAGCAGACTCTCTTTGATCAATCGAGTATAAATAAAGGGCGGCAATAGCTAGGACCTCAATGGCTGGCAAGCTATCTTTCCAAAGTGATGCATGATCTGGGATCAATGACATCGCACGCACAAAAAACTTTGACCCGGGGGGCTGATCGCATTTCGATCGCGAAAGTAACGCCGTACCAATAGATACAATCAGTAAGAATTGAACAAACCACAATCGAGATCGGGCTACGATCAACGACGGGTCACCGTGGTAGAAGTCTCGTAATCGCTTAAGAAACTGATCCTCGTCGAAAAGCCGATAACTCTGGCCTAAGTGAAATTTGACCGTTCTAAAGAGATACACAGAGTAGTCAAAAGAAGGCAGTCCACTGATGTCTGGCGTCGCTTTCGCCAGGGTCTCCCATCGTAGTGGATAAATTTATTTCTCCTCTAGGGTAGGAGCGTTGCGAGGATATCCGTGATGCAATTTCTCCGACATCAAGATCGTAAGTCTGGTGGTAAAAGACCACATGGACGATGGCGCCAGCCAGACTTCATTTCCAGTCTTGTCAGCTCCGAGTGAAAGAAAACACGATGCAAAGTAACTCACTCCAGTTGCGACTGTTCTGCTTTGTATTTCTGATGGTAGTTGACGGCAAAGAGAAAGGGGAAGTCCAGATATCGCGCATATAACTTGCCCTTGAGGGTGGGGACCCGTCCCCAGCTGTGCGCAAAGAATCATCCGGAGTGACTAGCGAGCCTCCCACTGAACGGTTGTTTTGTCTTCTCATAGACGATTGGAGCGGAGAGCAATTCTTCTTCGGCGAACCGGGTTGATTTTGAATCTGAGCCTCTAGGTGTTGAAGATACCTATCGTATAACCTGAATTATTCGACTGTCAAAATTGCATGAAGGAGGAATCACTTTACAAACCTCTTTGATACCATCACTTTGGCTATTCCTTCGGCGAAGTGACACCGGACTTCTCGACGTTGACAGTTTAGGCAGGGCTCATGGCCAGAGCACTTGATTTTGCTCTGGCGACATGCCACACATCTGCCAAAATGTTCAGTTGTTGACTTTGTTCTTGACGGATTCTCCTTACGCGTTTGCGGTCCTACGCGCCTTAGGATGCACGCGCATTCTGATCAATTACCACGGAGGAAGATGTTCGAGACATTAAATTTGACTAACAGACCTTCAAACCCCCGCATTTGGCTTCAATTGGGCGAGAAAAAGGGAGTTGCTGGTAGGTTGTGAAGCCTCTAGGCATCCTCCCCCGCTTTTGCCATTTGCCCCTCTCGGGAGAGGAACCCGCAAGGAGCGGACTTCCTCACCATAACTGGAAGGGAGAAGGGTTGGGAAAGATGTTTCAAACACGGAGGGAACTTGTTAGTCAAAGAATCTTATCTTCTTGTCACAGGACCATGAGTGGCGGCGTACAATAACCATGGACCAAGATGGTATGGCGGGCCAGAAATCAAATCATCTGTATTCCGGGGTTCAACAAAGGCATGAATCGTCGAGCTCAGTGATATTCATGAGTCAAAGAGTTTTATACAAGCACCTAACCAGGAATGCTCGGGGTTTCAACCCGACTGATCTATCATCAAGCTCTACCGTGAGGACGCCAGCCCTTCATTGGGACAACAGGGAAGATTTCTTGGTGGACTGCCTCTCTGGATGGGCGAGAGTGGCTCATTGTATTGAGATTGACCGACCTAGCCCCTCATTGAGTGCTCAGTGAGTGGATCAGGTTGAGATTTTGTACAATCCGGCATTGCCCATCGCTCCACTCACATTTCAGCATCTCCTGTGTAGTGAACCGCTTTTCTGACTCAAACGACAGCATTAAATTCAACATTCTCATAACGGCAGCTTTCTCTTTTACGGCAAACCCTGGGGTTCCGTTGCTAACGGGGAACATCATGCCCTTTGGCATCATCTATCTGCCATTCCAGGCTTTCGAGCCAGCAAAGAAGATCGAGGTAGACTTGAGTATGATACAAACCGGCTCGAGACTCTGATAGACCCTTATACTGCACTCCGTAGTCACCGTCATGCTTTTCTATGGCGTTTTGCTGGTCTCTTTTGTGACTGTGGTCAACTGCGAGCCTCTTGTATTTTGAGGCTAAATGAGAATCCGACTCAAATAACCAAGTAATCAAATCCGGCTGGGGAAAGCCCATGTAGAGGTATGTAATAGCGAGCTAAATCGGGTCAATGAATTCATCATCATCATCATCATGAAGCCCATGTAGAATATCAGCTTGGGAGATCTCATGAAGTTCAACACAGTGAGACTTCCTTGCAAATTTTGGAGCACATTGGCTTACAAGAAGCAGCCGTTGCTCACCAATGCGGTTCCCTGATTGATTTGTCCATGCATCACTAAGATGGCCATTCTCTCTGTCTTCATTCAAACCAATCCAACAGAGGTATGCCGCTACCTCGTCGTGGCTCTCGCAGTGGCGATCTTGGCATCTACTCTGATCTTGGATATCCTCAGCGGGGAACCATGTAATTCTTTCCATGTAGGAACGACAATATGTCTAGAACACGTCGCTCTGTCTCGGGCAGTTCTGAACATTGCCTCTGATTGAGCTGTGATCGCCATCCCCATCCCGACTATCCACAGTCTTCATTATTCAGAGAAACAAAAAAGTCACGGTCGGCTGCTTGCTGGCTCTAGGATCTGTCCCGCATCTCTTTACTTGCCTATGTTATCTCACCCCCCCACCCCTCTCCATAAGCAATACCCGCTAATCCCAACCCCACAGTGTCATCATCTGCTCAATAACACGCTTGCCATACGTCTTTGCTCCTCTTCAAAACAGCCGACACAACATATACCGAAGCCATTCTAGAAGTGTGGTCCCTTTTCGAGGTCAACCTCGGTATCATCTGCATCTGCGCAGGTGGACGAAGAACGCGCAGGTAGATATTTCGGGAGCAATAGCAGTGCTGACAAAATTCTGGCATGAGGCATAGGGGGTTCCAAAAAATTGACGACTTTGCTTTTGTAAGAGAGGTAGATTATCGAAAATCCTCGTGGTCACAGTTTCTCACTATGGGGCATCCGCTAATTGAAACCAGCGTGAGCTAGGCACGAGCATGGACGATTCATCAAACCAAGTTTTGATATACAACTTACTCCGCAGATACATTCATCCCCCACGGGATTCTCTGTAGATATCCCGGGGGCCTAGACAGGCAATTGTATCACACGTCTTGGTGTCCCGCGCTACAAGATCCTAGCTCCCCGCACTCCGTCCCTTTTAGAGACCCTCAACGCCTCAACGTGCCTTGACTGATTTGTTGAAGAATTTACAGAGTTTCAGTAACGTCTGCTGTGTTAGAGGTGTATGTCGATCAGAATTTATGTGTCGTGTCAAAACTTTGAACGGACATAGTCAGAAGAGTTCATTTTTGAGCACACTTACCCACCATTGCACTAAAGCGCTAGCCTATGTAATCAATAGAAAGGAATGCGAGGAATGCAAGAAAATGAAGGTTTTGCAATGTGTGCAGCAAGCTATCGTAACTAAGAAAAAGTGGGAACAATCTCGATCTATTCACTGGCGGACAAGCCACCAATCTCACCAGAGCAAGCACGTTCATCAGACCTCCCAAAAAGTGCGTTATCATCCCCATCGCTCAATTCCAATGGATTCTCAGGACCACCTTTGAACGCACCAGGTGACTCCTCGGCTTCAAAAGAATAACCACCAACACTCGCAAATTCATCCCTGGCCTCCCTCTCCTCCAGCATCACCGTGATCCCATGCATAATCTTTTCAATGCGAGTAGAGATATCGCCCAACTCATCGTACATCTGGCGTGTCAGCCATGTCTCACATTTGCTCCCACAGTGGCTCCTGATGCGCTGATTGTACTGTGACACTGCGTGCAAAACTGGGGTATAAGGCGTGGAGACTTCCGTGAGCTGCTCGGACGGGTTGTCGGAGACTGACTCGTGGGTTGTCTCCCTCTCGTCAGATAAGCATTCCAATATACCCAAATCCAACTTGCGGGGGTAGATGAACTCCGAAGGTGGAAGATCTGGGAGCTCAAGTGGTTTTGTGGGCTTGGTAGAGACAGAGTCCATTGCGGCCTTCGGTTCCGATGATGCCTTGGGTGAGAGTTCAGGCTGAGTACGCGAGGGAGAGGTGGCCTGCTGCATACCCCGCGACTTGCCAGACTTGGTCACACTATCATCTCTCTTGGGCTCCTTGTTGGGTAAGCGTTTATGCGAGGTCTTGGGGTTGGTCGACTCCAGGGATATGGTCTCCATTGAGGAACTCGTCCTCCGGTGCTTGGCGCTAGATTGACCTCCCCTCTTGCGCTTTCTGGTTGCAGTCGACCCAGAAAAGTTGACATCAAAGAGGTCCTACAGTGCACATGTATATCAGCATCTTCGTTGGCGTTCACAGGCTGTGATGGTGAAGTATTCGATAGAGATAGGACACAGGCTGGTGTGAATAATATAAGTGTGCAAGCCGCAAAATCAGACCTTCTCCTGTTGGGCCTGGGTGGGATCAGTGATGCGGGCTGAAGCCGGGACATTTTCCTTTAGATGAGCCAGCATCTGTTTGGTCAGACTGGTGAGGAAAGAGATATCAAAGGTTTCCATTTTGTAGAGGGGAGGAAGACGGTGAATCGTTGTGTAGACAGAGTAATGGCTTCAATTTATAGATGCACAAAGCTGGAAACAACAAATATAGTTGACAGAAGTTCCCATGTCAAACTTGATACAGTCTCAGGTGCAAATGCAATCAAGATGATTGTGCGAAGGTGACAGTGATAGCCAATATGACGCGGATACACCGAAGTTAACCATCTATGGATCGCTCTAAACCAAAGCGAGTATAAGTATAAAAACTTAGTCCAATACAGGAAAAGCGAGTAGAAAGTAGAAGACAATGCTTGATTGAATTTGGATGTAAATATAGATATAAAAAAACCGCTATGTCCAGGATAATAGTGCGCAAAAAACAAAAATGTAAGCTCCACAAGAAAGACCGACGTGAAAAGATAACCCAAAAGGGCTCATTATGTATTATCTAAGGAGACGTAGACAAGACATGTACACCAGAAGAAGAACCCACAGCCGTGAACACCCGATAGCATCATGCGGATATCATCGAAGTGATAACACCAATCATAATGCTATCTCTTCGTGATGCCATTGACACACTCAATTGCTTTACAGCAGAAGGGCAACAGCACCGAAGACAGCGGCCAGACCAGCACCAGCACCGGTAGCGGCGTTGATAGCACCGGCGTTAAAGGCGGGCTGAGAGGGCGTAGCGGGTGTGGAAGGAGAGCCAGGAACGCCAGTAGAGTCACTGTCGGAGGGAGAGGTGGTAACGCCAGTGGGGCCGGCGTTGGAAGGAGAGCTGATGGTAGAAGAGCTGGGCACGCTAGTGGAGCTGGGGCTGGGAACCATAGAGGAGGAGGTGGCGACGACGGGAACGCTGGGGACGGCGGGGGCGCCAGGAACGCCGGGAGCACCAGGGGCGCTAGGAGCACCGGGGACTGCGGGGGCGCCAGGAACGCCGGGGGCACCGGGAGCACCGGGGACGGCGGGGGCGCCAGGAACGCCGGGGCACCGGGAGCACCGGGGACGGCGGGGGCGCCAGGAATGCCGGGAGCACCGGGGGTGGCGGGG